TATATATATTAAAAAAATTAAACATTAAATTCTGTTTTTGGTATAAGCCCATTTTACATTCACACTGTCATTTATGTAACCCAACCTTCCTGAATACTACATAACTAAATAAATAAAATAGTTTTGATTTTACATTCACACTGTAGGTTATGTATGCCAGCCTTATTACAATAAAGTATTATTATTATTAATAACAATATTATATTATTTTATTTGCTTATGATAATGACCTGAACCAACCAAAGAAATGTGGAATGACTTAAATATAAAAAGTGAACCCGGAGAACTTTGTGCTTATTATGCACAATATGCAAACCTGAAGCACTTTTAAGTGACCAGCACTCAGAGCAGCTCCAAACATTTGGAGTGCTTATGTATCACACTACTGCGCCAGAAGACATACAGAAAGATCTGCATTTCAAACACTGCTAAAATTCTTTGGAAAGCAATGATCACTGTTCTCTCAAATACTTGCAACAAGGCTAGTTGCAATATTACTATTATAATGCAGAATAACTATTTATTGCTAATTAGGAACAGAAAAAAAAATTACCTCCATTGCTCAGCATGTTGCCTTTTGGCTTAGTCTTCCGATTGTTCTCTAGGAACGTCCTTTAAACAAACAATTAGCAGATTATTCAAACCGTATGGGCATTAATGCATATTAATAAAGTAATGAGACCTACATTAAATTAAACCTTCTTACGTTTGATCTCCTTCTAGAGACTTCTGGATCTCCTGAAGCACTCCTGTGTTAGAGCAAGACATGAATCAAGCAAATACTCCAAGACTTTCCCGGAAATCACTAAGACACTATAAATACTACTAGTCCAGCAAACACCGTCCTCAATGGAACTGCATGTAAAGTACTCAAACTAGTTCTTCTGTTTATAAATAACAAATCAAAACTTTTGCACAGATACAGTATTAATACAACAATATTATTGTGCAGGCAAATGGAAATGTTACAGATCATGCACACACATGACTGCCCAGACCAGGCCACGATTACTGAAAACATACAGCATGTTCAGATTATTGTTTTAAGCCATTTGCATATCATCTGCATGTCACAAAACATACACAGCAAGCAGAGATACAAACAATCTGATACTGCTCTGAGGTGCTGGTCTAACATGTTTATTTCGCATCTAAACTACTTCGTAATATTCTGTCTAACTGCTGATCCTCATGTACTCACTCTCATCGTTGAGCAAAGCATGCTCCATTACTTGTCTAGCAGAATTCTCTGGAACACACAAGCACATTGATCAGTCAGGCGAAAGCTTGCCAACGCTTTGAGGAGGAGTTATAAATACAATTCCTAATTGATGCAACAGGCAAGCCACAACAGTGTTATTTTAGTATTATTTTTATACTATAATAGTATTAATATTTTGAACTGAGATTTTATTTTAATATTTTGTTTAATTTAAGTTTAAATAATTTTGTTTTAAGTAATTTTAGCTTAATTTAAAAAAAATATTTATATTTAGTTTAATCTATGTACTGCAATAGTATTCATTAATATTTTGAATTGGCTTTTATTTTAATATGTTGTGCTTTCATTTTATTTTCATTTTAATTTAAGCAATTTTGTTTCATACTGGTGTCATTTTTCTTAGTTTTTTAAATATTCCCATTTAGTTTATTTTCGAATTTATTTTAATTAACAAAAAACATTTTAATAGTTTTAGTTAAAAATATCAATACTTGGCAAACATGTGTAAAACAAGTGGCCCCAAATTAATATATAAATTAATATTAATATAATATAATAAAACACTGCCTTCCAGTGCACCTAATCAACTACTAATTTCTTTAGAATACTAGATTGTGATTGGTCAGTTGCAGTTTGTCTAATCACAAGCACAAAACTCAAAATTAAAGGGATAGTTCACCCAAAAATGAAAATTCTGTCATCATTTACTCACCCTCATGTCGTTCCAAACCTGTATGAGTTGCTTTCTTATGTTGAACATAAAAGAAGATATTTTGAAGTTTGCTGGTAATCAAACAGTTGGTGGAAGTCAATGGCAACCACCAACTGTTTGATTACCAGCAATCTTCAAAATATCTTCTTTTGTGTTCAACATAAGAAAGCAAGTAATACATGTTTGGAACGACATGAGGGTGAGTAAATGACAGAATTTTCATTTTTGGGTGAACTATCCCTTTAAGAGTACACTTAAAGGCTGTATTATAATGCATAATACCAGTATGTTTTTTGGTGCATATAATAGGACTAAATATAAACTTTTGCTTTTAGCAAAATTTCAAGTAACAATGTGGCATTGTTTCATCAATTACAGATTGTGTCTGTAAGTTCAGACTTAAGTCTTTTGCATGTGTGACTTCTGGGAATAACATGGGGAAGCATTCAACAAAGCACTAAGAACATGCGTTTTTAGTACTGGATGCTTAGTTTGCACAATTCACACAGATCTGGAAAAAGCACACTGAATCTTACCATATCCTTCACTCTCCCTTTTGAAATTTCTAGAAAAACATAATAAACAAACATCAATATAAAGACACTTTTGTCAAACCTTGACAACAGGAAAGGAATAATGGATCCTGAACTATTACACAACTACACACACACACCTGTGTTCAGTAGGTACTCCATCCGGCTGGTCCCTGTGGACGGGACTTGATGGGTTCTTGGGCCTCATCTGGAGGGGAGCCTCAACCAGACAGCGCGGTTCCACCACCCAGCGGGTGGAGAGAGAAAACCGCTCAAACTCAGATGGGGACATCAGGTAGAAACCTAAAAGATGACCGGACAAACAGTTTCAGAGGAGATCCATGCTTTTATCTGAGTGAATGCACTGTGTAAAAGTGAGCGTTTCCTACCTTGGCCAAATTTAGTGAACACACAGGATGCGATTCCACTGACGTCTTCTCTTCGTATACAAGGATAGTGGACCATCATTTTGATGGAGGGCAAGGAGATGACGTGTAGCTCACCCTGATTGGTCAGCACAACCAGGCTGCTCTCCAACTGTTCATCAGTCCGAGAGCCAAACCAAGCCACACCCACACGGCGAACACGAGAGCCGTCGACCGCTGTCAGCTTCAGCTTTGACTTACTGCTCACTTTAGGCAGTGTAAACAGCTGTGTAGACACAAATATGGTGAGACACACAATCTATGTCGGCAATGGAGGAAAAATTAGTTGTGTGGTGTTATTTCTCACCTTAAATTGCTCCTCTGACACAACCAATAGATGGTGAGAACCGTGCATTTCAGGACTGCGCGCCAAATCATGGGCCACCTCCAGGGGTTCGGGCAGAGGTGTACCCTTGCCATCCAAGACCACCAAACCAACGACTGGAGCACGATGCATCAACTGAATCTCTTTAGCTGGTGATGAAGAAGCACTTTTTATAGAAGATCTGTTTATGTAAACATTCGACTACTTTATATCATGGGTTTTGTGTACACTACTGTTCAAAACCTTGAGGTCAATACAAGCCAAATATACATAATCATACTTTATTATTAATATTTTCCACGTATAATAATAGAAAAGTCATTAAAATATTATACATTATGTACGGACCAAAATGTAGAACAAATTACATGACCCTTCAAAAGTTTGGGTTCAGTAAGATTTTTATGCTCGCCAAGGCTGAATTTATTTGCCCAAAAACAAAGAAAAACAGAAATAAAGAAATATTTTTTACAATTTGAAAAATAGTAGTTTTTTTTATTTTAATACATTTTAAAATGTAATTTATTCCTGTGATGGCAAAGCTGAATTTCCAGTCTTTAGTGTCACATGATCAACCAAAAAAACATATTGACCCTAAACATTTTAACAGTAGAGTATATTTGTTGGTATTTAAAAAAAAAAAAATGTTTGTCATTTATATATCATTTTCTATTTACCTGCATGAGCCACCACCGGATCCTCTGCCCTTCGTTCCAGTGAGGGGACACGGAGGACATACGCAAAAACAGCTCCGCCATTGGTTCCTGCCCACAGTGAGGGCGTACTGTGAGAACCTGAAAAAGAGAGCGAGATGATGGAGATCTTCTGCTAGTCACACACATACCATCTGAGAGGATACAATAGGAATAAGACTGATGATAACCTTATATATAATATTTAATGATTAGAAACACTGTGGTACTCACCATCACTGACAAATGTATCTGCGAAGTAGAGTGTTCTGACGAGGCCCGTGAAGGAGTCGTCAGAGGAACGGGCTTCGATCTTTCTCTGTACAGGTGCCAGCTCCATCTCCTGTAGAGCTTCGGCTTCCAGCCTGGCGTTGATTTCTTGCAGCTGCAGAAAGATTCCTGATATTTACTATCAAGCTGTCATTACCCTTTTAACAACTCTGAAATAACTGCATGCACAATGTCTAGTCTCATGTTAAGTTAATTTGTCGGGTGAATAACTGCAGCATTAAAGAAAAAGAGAGCCGATGTGTACCTTGGCTGCGTTGGTAGCGTGGTGTTTTCGCATGGAGACCCGGCTGCGGCGAATCCTGCGGAAGGACTGTCGCAGGGACTTCTTGATGGACTTGACGCGCGAGAGCGGCCCCTCCATGGTCACCTGGTCACTGGGGTTTAGGGTGCACCTGCAAATGGACAGTAAACATCTATCAGCATGTTCAAATCTGCAGGAAATGAAACATCTGATAGAATTGTTTTGTAATTATCTTAATTTTAACAGTCTTGAATCTAACAGTTTAATCTAAACACTTGCGCTCAGAAACAAAAGGCTTAAAATTACTTTAATATGGACAATATAAATTGTGGCTACATGCATCTTTTTAAAAAGCTAAAACAGTAAAAATGTAAGTAAAATGTACATTTTCTTTTAAATTGATGGATATCAAGACAAAAGGTCACAATTTCAAAGACCCTAAAATGCATGTGACAGTAAGATTTTTTTTTTGTTGATCATTCAAATAAAAAAAGTGACAGACAATAATGTTATAAAAAAATCTATTTCAAATAAATCCTGCACTTTTGAAATTTTCTATTCATCAAAGAATCCTGGAAAAAATGCAGCACAACTGTTTTCACTGATAATAATAAGAAATATTTTTTGAGCATCAAATCAGCATATTAGAATGATTTCTAAAGGATCATGTGACACTAAAGACTGAAGTAATGGATGCTGAAAATTCAGCTTTGCATCACAGGAATAAATTACATTGGAGAATATATATTAAAAGAGAAAACTGTTTTTTTAAATTGTGATATTTTTTCAAAATATTTTTTTGAATAGTTTTGATCAAAGAAATGTAGCCTTGGTGAGCATAAGAGACTTCTCTGAAAAACATTAAACAAATCTTACTGAATCCAAACTTTTGAACGGTAGTGCAATTTGGTCTAAATTTGTCAGTACATAATATTTTATAATTTTTATGACCTTTCTATTAAATGTGGAAAATATTACATTTGAAATGTATTACGTAAAATATTTAATATGTTTAATATAAATTATTTGAATAAAAAGCCTGTCTATCATATGATAAGTGAATCAGACTAGGAGCGTTTTTTCCACTTAACCACATTTTATCATATTTTTTCCACATTTATCATGTTAAAAGTACATCATGGTGACCAACACTGTAGCTATAATAAAGACTTCCCTTTTTGAAGGGAACATTTCTTTAATTAGACTATTGTGATGAACATGTAGTCATCACATGTATTATCATCATCAGTCTGAACCAACAAAAAAAATATCTTATGTGCTTTATGTTTGCGGTTATCTTTAAGGTCATTCCTTCATGTTAATTTGTGATACCCTAACAGTCTGCTTGTTTTAACAGTTACAGATCGACCTTTTAAACTAATAAAATTGGAAATGTGATTCTTCTCACTTGACCATGATGTTATTCTTCTGGTGGTAGTCATAGAAACCAAAGCCATGGCTGGTACCGAAGGCCACCAGTTTCCACTCTGAGTGCAGAGCGATTGCTGTGACCACAGCGGGCGGCTGGCACTGCACTAGAGCGAAGGGCTGGAAGCCTGGAGGGAACAGCACCGGCTCCTCCCGTACATCTAGACGCGCCTGGCCCTTCCAGCGGAAGCCCTCCTGACCCTGCAGCAGGTCCACCACTGTAGCCTCAACCATCTGCTCAGCAGCCTCATCATTCAGCTCCAAAATCAGAATCTGAGTGGGAGGAAGACAAAGAGAGAAGTTATATTTAATACATTTTGACCCAAACAAATGAAAATAAAACAGCAATATGTCACTTCTGCATAAAGTGATATAGCTTCAGCATAATTCATATAGCATGCAACACGCTTAAGAGCTTTGTGTACTGTTCTGACCGAACATCAGCATAATTGTCTTAACACCTTTCAGTAGTTCAGTGAAAGGACAACAGGAGAGTGTTTGATCCTGAAGAGCGGCTTTTCACCAAGCTCAACACATTTCCAAATGTCAGACATGATGTGAAGTGGACTGTTAATAATTAGCTAAATCAGAGTGTTTCAGTCAAGATCTCTCTCATGCTTAATTATCAGCAGCCACTAAAAAGTCTGAGAACTGGGTGTACTGGAGAGATCAGATCTTCAGCACAAGCCAACTAAGAATAAATTCACAGACATACAGCTCCATGAGCGACAATCAATGTTTTTTCCCCCCAAGAAATTAATAAATGTATTCAGCAAGGATGCATTCAATTGATCAAAAGTGATTGAAAAGACATTTGTAATGTTATTAAAGATTTCGATTTTAAATAAATGCGAATCTTCCGAACCTTAATATTTGTACCATTTTAATATTGCTTGCTTTAATGATGTGTACAAACTTTGTCTTCCCTTAAACTCCCACATCAAAACTCACTTGTCCTGCAGTTCCAGCCACTGTGAGATATCCGCTGTATTTACACAGGTGGATCTTCTGAATGCCAAGCCGTGGGTCGTCGCTATATGGGTCAAAGCAGCCCACCTGATATTTTGAAAAACAATAAATACACCCAATCAAATGTCTGATGAAATCAGTAAACAACTGTGTTAACAAGAAGTTAAGTGTGAGTGATACTACTTGTACAAGTGTCAGTCAAACCAGACCTTTCGGAATGGAGGCCACTCTCCTTCACTGCCTTGGTTCATGTTGTCATTTGGGTCAGCGTCCGTGAGGAAGACTCCCGCTGTGCTGAGCTTGTACATGGGGTAAAGACAGACCCCTGAGGCATCCCAGAAACGCACAGTGCCATCTTCATGCCTTTCAAAAGGAAGAGGGATACAAAATATTTAAAGTGAAAGGTAATATACATTTTAACCAAAAGTTCCTCATTCCTTACATGCAAAACCATTACAGCGTCTTAACAGAAAATTTTTCCTGGTTATTCACATGGCTTTCATGAGAAGGGAAAAACCCAGCTGTATTGAGCAAACATATTTTAAACAGGGCCTAAGTACCAACAGGTTGCCAAGGTTGTTTCATCAAAGTTACTAACAACTAGCTTTGAAGAAACAAACTAGAATTACTGGACTAATACTAAGTTTTTAAGAATTGCAAAATAATCCATGATTTAATATGCAAAACAACAACAATAATCTGATCTTTCCGGTTTTTATTATCTGACAGAAGTGATGTGAGCGACTCAAAACAGACACATACAGTCTAAAAGAAAAGCTCAACAGTTGTGCCTTCTAACAACTTTTATCTCAACTGAAAATTTCATTTCATATTACTTATAATTTTGGTAAAAAAACAAACAAAAAAACATTTCCACCAAAATACTAGGCAGCAGCATTGTTTTCAACATTGATAATAATAATAATTGTTTCCAGAGCAGCAAGTCAGCATATTCATCACATGAAGGATCATGTGACACTGTAGCTACTGAAAATTCAGCTTTGCATCACAGGAATAAATCACATTTTAAAATATTTATAATATTTAAAAAATATTTTAATAATAGTAATAATAATAAAATATTACTGTTTTTACTGTATTTTGATTAAAACATGCAGCCTTGGAAAGCACAAGATACTTTTTTTCCAAAAACAATTTAACAGTAGTGCATTTTTAAAAAAAATCAATATTTATTAAAATAATACAAAATACAATATCAAACAGAAGACAACTTATTGCCTGTAAAAAAACAACTATTCATAACCCATGGGTATGTTCTTCACTTTCACCCGCTTATAATTAGGTACAGAATAATTCCCAATATTTTGCAAGCGGACACTTTACAAGGAAACCAGTGAATTCAAGACTGTGCAAGATCACACCAAGATCGATAGCATTAACTTACACCGGCCTACTCACCCTGTCAGAAGCAAGTCTCTCTGGGGAGGGTCTGGGGAAAGATTCTGGCCTCCAATTATAGGCCAAGGCTACAAAAAGACAGATCGACAAAAACAAGAATTGAATGGCTCAATAGAATCTAGGTCAGTGATTAAAGTCGTCTGTGGTGCTGCCAAACAAAAATAATCACAACAACACTTGACATAGTTGAAGTGTTCTGAAGCCAACAGCAGTTAACATTTAACCCAGCAACCGGCGGTTGAAGTGAGCGCTCTCTTTCTGGTAAATGGTTTTATTGGACAAAATGCGATCTAAGCTTAATATTTCTGTTTTAGTGAGTGCATATGGTTTCATACCTTCCTGGAGTAGTGTGTATTCTGCTGGGCTCCCGCAGCTTGCACTCGCTCCCACAGTTTGAGCGGGATGGAGGAGACGTGGTGCGAGCAGGTAATGGCTGAACAGTGTAATGGCACCAGGTAAGGCGTCTGGATGACGGGCCACCCCTCACTCTGCAGATCCACCACAACCAGCTCCTCCTCCACCAAAACCACAAGAGCGCTCGGCTCACCTGCGACACAGACACACATTTATACCACTTAGAGGAAGTGCACCTATCGCAGCTCAGATAAAATGTTAAGTAGATGCAAAAGAAAGCATGTAAAGGAACCAAAACACTCTGTTTGTAAGCATCTCTCTCTACCTCTGTGGTTCTCTCCCTCGCGAATGACGAAGAAGTCGATAATGCGAGAAGTGAAGTCCAGCGCCTCGTGGAATTTGCTGTGGATGACGGAGATGCAGTGTCTGTCCCCGTAACTGGCCCTCGGCATCCCTCCGCTGAAGATGAGGAATGGGGGACTGGGGGATGAGAGGATAGAAGACACATTACTTTGGATAAGGAAGTATTTACTAAATGACAAACTTCCCTTGGCTCTTTCAGAACTTTCCAAATATTTCAAATATTTTGAAAAAAACAGAACTTTCCAAATATTTCAAATATTTTGAAAAAAAAAAAAAAAGAGAACAATAAAGCAACAGGAAATGAAAGGTACAGTGTGATAAAATAGGCTAGAGATTAGCAGTAAAAGAAAAGTCAGATGGAGGATCTTACAGTGAAGCAGAACATATGAACGTCTATGGAAGGTTTAAATATTAACCAGACGGTGTGAGTCATAGTGAAGCACTCTGGGTTAATGACAACACAAGCAAACAAAACTGTCTCAGCATCAGCAAGTGAACACTCACAGTACTGTCTAATAAAGAATATACTCACCCTTGTTTTGATGGCAGCTGTATAATTTTGGATATGGCCTTACAGGGGAAGGCACCTGTGTGGAGATATTGTTCACAAGGAAGTAATTACAGATAGCTCAATATGAATACATTTTACATGAGGTTGTTCCAAAACCTAGTGAGCTGCCTACTAAGCAAGCATTTTAGGCATAATATTAGGCACCAAATGGTAGGCAACAACATGATTCCACCTTTTGACAGTTAGGAGGCTAATTATGTAGGTAGGAGACTACAAGGCAGCTCACTGGACCCGGGTTTGATTTCCTTTTCATAATTTCCCACATTTTACAGGGTGAAACATTACTGGTAAACCAGTGAATTCAAACTGCATTCAAAGGTTTGAGGTCAGTAAGATTTTTTTATATTCTTTTGAAAACAGGCACAGCGTAGGTTTTGGAACATGTTTCCAGTTGCAACAGAAAACACAAGTCATTCCGGTAATGTGGTCTCACCATACGGCGTCTCCTGTTTCTCAGGCTCTGTCTGCGGATCCTCGCCGGTCACTGTCCATTGGCAGTAGCTCCCATCACTATGGGAACTGAGTATGTTCACACCGTCCTCCATCCACCAAACACTCTCTAGTTGCTGTAGAGGACACAAAGAGAGACAATTACAAGCTTCTTCTTAAAAACAATATCCTCGATAAGAGTTTTGAGGTTCAGAGCTTAAGTGACAACACTGCGGTATACGGTACCTGTGTGCAGAGGAAGTGCTGGATGGGACGTTGCCTGTCCAGATCCCACAGTACCATCAGGCCTCGGCCGTAGCCAATCAGCACCTGCCGTGGGTTGAGCGGGTTCTCATGCAGAGCCTCCACACACTCCAGATTTCTGCGGCCAACATAATCCTCTGGAATTCTGGGAAAAGTAGCGGTGAACAGATCAGTGATCACAAAGAGTAACTGTTACAGTCGTCTCAGGTATGCGAAACTGTTGCATAATACCATTCCACTGAAACTATTTAAAGAATGTACGCTGTATGTGTATATAGGCAAAATGAATTGAGAGATTAGAACTGAGGGACATTGGGTCACAGATCAAAGTTAAGTCTATTAAATATGGTAATTTTAAGCTCTTGTCTTTAAATACAGTGTTCATATGTAAAGTGACCAAACATTTATTTAT